CCCCCAGTACGTCTATGATTTTAAGCAATTTTAGGCGATTTTAAGCGATTTTAGGCGATTTTAAGCGATTTTAGGCGATTTAAGAGAAATTTGACAATTTTAACCCGCGATTTAATGCGATTTTGGGCGATTTTAGGCGATTTAAGGCTTTTTTCCGCCCCAGAGTAGGCCTATAGTGTTATGCGCTTCCATTATTAATAGTGTTATGGTATATACTGTATAATAGTGTTGTTATGGTATACATAATAATGTTATATTTCCATTGTTAATAGTAACAGTCCTTGGCTCTTGTGCATTATATTTATCCATTATTAATAGTGTTATTAACTGTGAGTCATTCCAGGTTAATATTACTCTAGAAGTGACCACACTTGACTTTGTGTCTAAGAATATTGGTGACATTAACCTTAGTAACAATCGCATAATAAATAGCTAAATGTATCGAGGTAGCCCTGCGGGTCACATTATACATATATTGTCGGAGAAATAAGCTTTGGAATGACCCATAATTTCTTAATATTTATTAGCTACTATTGTTTGGAGTGCTCAGAAAATGACCTGTTTCATTACAGAGAACTGTTTTCTTAATTTTAGATAATTAGAATATTGTTGAAACATATATGCACGCGATTCTTACAATAAAATACGATTTTCATTGTTTAAAAATTATAATAGTGTTGTGTTTCCATTATATATAGTGTTATTTATTTTTGAATTATCCACGGATTATAAACAGATTTTGAACAACCTAACCCAAAGTTTTGGCCAAGAATAATATTTTGACATAAGGCTGTCTTTTGATATCGTATTTGTGTGTTTGTATAAATTCGTTTGTGTGTATTGAATAATTTCATAAAGATATTTGTAGCACATATGCTACATTGCCACGAAGTGGTCACTGAAGCTCAGATTACATGAACATTACATTTTTGATAAAAGACACAACGTGTGCTGTATTTTACTGCAATTTCCTTTGACTATAGTTAACAACAAGTAAATATTTCATTTTGTCTTCAATATTGGGCCTCTTGGCTCAGTTGGCAGCAGGTTAATCCAGTTAAACATTCTATTTTTATACTGTTTTTATAGTGTTTATATGTATACATTAAACACTATTGTAGCTTGATTTTATCCCTTTTCATCATGTTCATGAGCTTCAGCGCTGCAGTGGTCAGATCCATATTAAATTCTCACTTCTGAATATAGTGCGCTCGATTCTCGGCTGCGAACCCTATGGCTTTCTCACGTGAAAATAAACAAGCGAACACTCCGCCGGAAGTTATAGGTTTTATCCCGACACTAGGTTTCGGCATGTTCCCTCAAACATGGAAAATTGACACTGAAGTACTATTACAATTCATGTTACAAATATATAGCTATAGTGTAGTAGAGAGTCAGCTGAATATTTATGTATTTGTAGAAAATGCCACGAAAAAATTCTAAAAAAGTCTCTTTTGAGGATGTTTTTGAAAGCATCTTGAGCGGAAATGATTCTGAAGTAGAAAACTTAAGCTCTAATGAAGAGGTTGATGATAGTGATGGTGACAGTAGTAATGATGACAATAGTGATGATAACAATACCGACAATGTCGAAAGTGGGGAAAATGGTGACGGTGCAGATCCAGCAACCCAACTGAAACAAAAGAAATCATTTCGATGGAGAAAGAAAGATATGCCACAATCTGATGGCAGTTTTGATTTAAAAGAAGATGATATTGAAGAGCCCAAGTCACCGCTGGAATATTTCAGACAGTTTTGGCCTGATGAGATAAACAACTTAATTGTAGAACAGACCAACTTGTACAGCACCCAGAAAACTGATACTTCAATTAATACCAACAAGAAGGAGACCGAACAACTTATTAGAATGCACTTGAAGATGTGTATCATACAACTTCCATCTTACAAGTTGTACTGGTCACAGAAGATGAGATACCCAGCAATTGCCGATCAAATGCCATTGAAAAGGTACGAAAAGCTGTGTTCACATCTCCACTTTGTCGACAACAGTGACATGAAAGAAAACGCATCGAAGCTGGCAGTGGCGTAACGTTATATCAGGGGGCCCCCGGTTCAAAATTTTCGAAGCCCCCCCCCCTAGTAAAAGTGCCAAAGGCAAGAGTCGAGCGCCATATATACACGAGTTTTCTAGGGGTCCAGGGTATGCTCATCCGGAAAATTTTTGAATCTAGACTCTCTGAAATGCCATTTCCTGGACTTTGGGGAGAGATTTTACAGAATTCTGATGGTCAGAAAACGACATTGTGACATATCAAAGGCCCTTGCCAATGTTTTTGCTCTACATCCTTAGTCTGGGGGCCCCCACTTGGCCCATTAGGGTTGGGGGCCCCCGGGTTCGCCCGGTCCGAGCCCATAGTCGTTACGCCACTGGAAGCTGGCAAAGATACAGCCAGTTATTGACATCGTCCGGGAGCAATGTCTGAAGGTTAGTCCAGAAGAAAGCCTTCCGTAGACGAACAAATTATACCTGCCAGGACAAAGGTCAGCAGTATGCGGCAATATAACCCCAAAAGCCAGTGAAGTGGGGGTTCAAAAATCTGGTACGTGCCGGTGCTTCTGGTTTCATGTATGACTTTTACATTTATGTCGGTAAGGATGAAGACATGGACAATGTCGACTTCAAGGACTTGCAGAAATCTGCCCAAGTTGTTGCGCGACTTTGTCAACATTTGCCATCCCACAGTGGTCATCAATTGTTCTTTGCAACTGGTTTACAACATTGGACTTGCTAATGTAGTGTACCTAAAGAATAAAGGTATACTAGCATGTGGTACAGTGCGCGACAACCGCCTTCAAGGATGTCCATTGCAACCCAACAAGGACTTAAATAAAGCAGGACGTGGCGCCATGGACTTCAAGTCTGATACCGAGTCGGGAATAATTGTAGTAAAATGGTTAGACAACAACATTGTCCACATTGTCTTCAATTATATCGGTGTGGAGCCATTGGGTTCAGTACAGAGATGGTCCCCAAAAGACAGGAAAAGAATGAGCATCCAGTGCCCACAGCTGATCTTGCGCTACAATAAAGGGATGGGAGGTGTTGATAAGCTGACATGCTCATCTCATTGTACAGAATCAATTTCAAGACCAGAAGGTGGTACATCAAAGTCGTTTGGCACTTTGTCGACATAGCAAAGGTCAATGCCTGGCTCCTCTACCGCAGGTATTGTAATCATTTGAGGTTGGAAGGAAAGAGAGGTTGTCGTTGCTGGACTTTGTTTTGGAAATTTCTGAAAGTTTGATCAGTGCCAACAAAGTCGTTCCCATGGAAACAACCAGTGGTAAGCCAGACAGACCAACCAAACGAAAATCGTCAGAGGCTGCTGGTCCATCAGCAAAGGTTGGTCGCAAACCCACCACGCCTTTGCCATCAAATGATGCACGATATGACCAACTCGGACATTGTCCCAACCCCTTGAATGGAAACCGCAGTCGGTGTCGCTACTGTAAAGATGGGTCCTCCAAAATCTTTTGTAGCAAATGTAAAATTTGTCTTTGCTTGAGAGAGGGGAAAAACTGTTTTCTGGACTACATAATTCTAAATAGCTTTCTTTTTGAACTTGAACTTTTCTATCTCTAATGTTGCAAATATATATTTAACAAATATAAAACACTTTCCGTGTTGATATACAGTTATATCAACAGAAGTGGAAATTAGGAAAACGAAATGCTCAAATCCAAGGAAACTTGCAAAGTTTGCAAACTTGTTGCTACTGAAGGGGGGCCCATTGTCCGATTTGACGACTTTGGGTATTCCTTCTAGAGAAAATACAATCGAGTTTGGGGATAACGGCGTTGGCTGTTGTGGAATGGAGGATTTTGACCTGTGGAAATCTGCTGAATTCGTCAATAACTACAAGTAAAACTTCGCCCGAGGGGAATGGACCAACGAAATCAATGGCGATTTCACAACACGGCGCTTTGGGTAGTGGGGTCATATTCAATGGCTCTGGTTTTGGCATGGTACCTTGTGTCGCTGCTTGACATGGGATGCAGTTTTTGATTCTCTCTTGAACCATCCTGTCAATCGACGGAAACCAAACCTTTTCACGTAATAACCGCTTGATATTTACTATTCCCTGATGGCCTGTTTGTACCAATTCAATAGCTTGATGTTGAGATGATTTTGGAAGGACCAGACGTGTTCCTCGGATGATTAAACCGTCGCAAACGGAAAGTTCATCCTTAAGATCTGTGTACATCTGGATTTCGGGGTCAGACCAGTGATTGGTTTCGACTGCTTGTGATAGTTTTTGGAGTGTGGAATCGTTCTTTGTTTCTTTCTGGACTTCTGATAAGGTCATAGCTTTCGGAATTATGTTGTTGGAAAGGTAGTTGACGTAAGTTTCGGCGATGTTATCTGGAAAAGGGGTAGCTTTATCTCGATGACGGCTGATGAAGTCGGCAGGATTGGCATCATCTTTTCCTGGCCTGTAAATAATCTCGTAATTATAAGGCATTAATCTCAGTTTCCATTGGTCAATTCTGGGGGAGGTTGTTTGTGACTCTTGAAGATTCCAAGAAAAGGTTTATGATCTGTGATCACCACGAACTTCGCACTATATAGATAAAGATGGTAATGTTCAGTTGCCCACACGACTGCGAGCATCTCTCGTTCTGTTTGGGAGTAGCGACTTTCGACATCAGTTAGCACACGGCTTCCGTAGCTGATGACTTTACCATCTTGCATTAAAATAGCTCCTAGACCCGTCGGGCTTGCGTCAACGAGTACTTTGGTGGGATTCGTTGGGTCAAAATAGGCCATGACTCGGTCAGTAGTTAGCTCATTCTGTAGCTTTCGAAAAACGGTTTATTCTTCTATCTCCCATTTCCACACGGAATGCTGATGGGTTAAGGCACGTAAAGGGGCAGTAATGGTGGTATAATTCGGGATGAAACGTGAAACGTACTGTGCCATACCTAGGATGGATTTCACTTCGCTTGGATTTTCTGGAGGTTGCATGGTCTTAATAGCATTGATCTTCTGAGGGGCTGCTTTGATTCTTTCGGAGCTGAAAGAGTGCCCATAGAAGATAACTCCTGACTTACAGAATGCACATTTGTCTCGGTTAAGGCGGGCATTGTGTTCTCGCAGACGGGTTAAAACGCGGTTCAGGTTTTCATCGTGTTCTCTGACGTCACGACAGTAAACAATTATGTCATCGGAAATGTTCTTGCATCCCGGTAAGCCAGTTAAAAGCTCAGCAATTGAATTTTGGAATATTTCTGATGCGGCATTTATACCGAACATGAGTCTTTTATATCGTCGAAGACCGACATGAGTGGAGAATGTTGTAATGCGCCTGCTTTCGGGTTCGAGCTCGAGTTGATGGTATCCGGATGTCAGGTCTAGGGTGCTGAATACAGTCGCGCCATTTAGACCAGTGATGAGTTCATCATGTGTTGGCATAAGGTGCTTTTCTCTTTTCACAGCTTTGTTTGCCTCTCGAATGTCAACACAGAGGCGAATTTCTCCTGTTTTCTTTGGGACTACGACGATGGGACTGACCCAGGGGGTGGGCCCCTTTTCTAATATGTAATGGAATGCGGCGGTGGGACTGTTGCTTAGGTTGGATCTCAGGATCGATATGCAGCTTGACTTTCTTGTCTTTGATCTTGCCGATGCCATCGACCAAGTCTGGATAATTTTGTTCAGTGTGCGTATTTAATGCGGTGTTCAATGCAGTGTTCACAGTTATTTTTAGGATCCCTAAGCTTTGGGCAGTGTTGCAACTCAAAAGGTTTCCATTTCGTCCTTTGGTGACGTAGAAGGCTGCAGTGACTGTGGTTGACCGGAGACGAATTTCTGCAGTAGTCATACCTAAGAGCGGCAGTTCCATATTTGAGCCGTATGTGTATATCTTGAACTGTGGTGTGGTAAGCACAGCACTTTGATTATGTTTTCTGATCTTTTCGTACGTGGATTCATCAATAATATGACGGAAGCACCCGAGTCAATAATGGTTTGAACTGGTTCGTTAGCAATATGTACCTCGCAGAGTGGTGACGTATTGTGTTAATGGTTGTTGATATTTTGCGTGAGTCTTGCTGATTTTTGTGTCTCTTTGCTCGTTTTTGACAGCGTTTATGGATAACACGCCATTTTCTACGGCTGTGGCTTGTGCTTCGCTTCGCTTTTGTGCTCTGGCATAGGTTAGTAAGTCTTTAAAATTTGGGTTGTCACGAAGAGCTTGCCGTCGTAATCGCTGTGACAAATATCCGACGATTATTTGTGTTTTTACTTCTTTATCGATGTTGGCGAACTCACAGGTTTGGGCGAGTTGTCTAAGCCGGGTATGGAATGCATCGATATTTTCTCCGTGTTGTTGTTTTGCTTGGCGAAAGTTGTATTCTTCGAATGCTGAGTTAACTTGAGGGATAGTATGAAGTATGCATTGAGCACGTCTACAGCTGCTTTATAGTCCTTGTCTACGCCTGTATCAGGTAAAGTGTCAAATACTTCTTCGACGGCCGGGCCAGCATAGTGTAGTAATAGGGCGCGTTGTTGTTTTGTTTCTGTTATATTCGTCGCCATAATGAGTCGTTCAAATTCCATCGTGGGCCAACGTTGCCATCGACATGAACATCAAACGGAGGAAAATTAGGCAATGAGAAATTATTTGAAGTCGCCAAGACTTGTTTGATCAAGCGCTTTGTTGAACAAGTGTATGTGTGTACTAACTATTTCTTTGTTCGCGTTTTGGAACTTTTTTCCCGATTTCGTTTGAAAATACTGTTAAATGATCGATTTCTTCGGTTTGTTATTGCTTATTTTAGTGATCCTCGTCGCCAGAATGTAGTGTATCGCGCCAGGATACAGAATATTCGAAGGAACAACATATAAAACCAACAGTCTGCTAATTCGGTGGTTTAAGAATTAATAATCAATTACGAAGTACAAGTAAAACATTATTACGACCTAGTGCATTACTAATTAACCTATTACAGTAGTTTATTAGTTGTATATTAATTAGGGGGTGGATTCTACACTTCTGAGAATATTGCAACCGCAGTACCCTGTAAAAATGATAGGACATGCCCTACCCCCTGGATTTCTTACCAATACTGTTCATTGTTTTCCCAGTCCACAATGAAATGTTTTGATTCTGGTGATTCGAAAAGTGAAGATGGCGGAATTGACGTGCCAATAACTATGAAGATTGTGAACAGTTTTAATATTATTTTCCCGTATTGCTAATGAAGATACCAGATCATAAAACCATAGTATTATTCTTTAAATCCAAGTCAAATACAAAATTTCGGCACACTCGCAAAAACACTGAAGGACTAAAAATAATATAAAATAGTTCCATTATTGGCTTCATTTTTTGGACTACAGTTCTTGCCCCAGATATGTATTGCGCTTACTGGCCTACCAGTAACCCATGTAGTTTGTGTTGTAAGCCAAATGTTCGGCGTAGCTATATTATTAATGTCTTATAATGCAAAGTTGAAAATAAAAATCTCAAATTTTCAATCCTGCACACTCAATTTCATATTCAATTGCATCTTTATTTTTTTTTTAAATGCGATAGAATGCCAGCTATAATATATTCAGCCAGCCGGACAAAAGACGTAGTATTTAAGCCGGTAACAGACAAGCGAATTTTTCTACGATAAGCAGATTTGTTTAAAACCCAGCATAGTTGCTTTTGTACAAGGGTAATTTTCATATTGAAAAGCATGGGAAGGTACAAATTTTCTTTGTTGGCAAGGGTCGACAAAAAATCGACAAATTAACTTAAACACTTTATTGCTGTTGAATAGGTACATTGTTATTGTGACGGTCATGCAGAGACCCGAAAACGTTTTATACAAAGTATGCTATCAGATATACACACGCCAATTGAATAATATAATCGCCAATAATACTTGCCAATTGAAAAATTGCAATAGAGAACTTACTGGTCTGAACCGAGTATGATCCAATACCACGATACGATACGATACGGATGGTAAATTTCATAAATCCACCATATCTCATATCGGTATTGTTGTCAATTCGTATCCATTGTACATTGCATCCGTACCAGTGGCACCGTTGGTAAGATATGGTTACGGATTGTGAAAGTAAGTTTACCATCCCTGTACCAAGGGCCATGGCAGTTGGGGTACTCTTCAAAATGATGTCGAATGGTACCAGTGGCACCGTTGGTAAGATATGGTTACGAATCGTGAAAGTAAGTTTACCATCCCTGTACCAAGGGCCATGGCAGTTGGGGTACCCTTCAAAATGATGTCGAATGGTCCAGTGGTACCGTTGGTAAGATGTGGTTACTGTTCGTGAGAGTAAGTTTACCATCCGTGAACCAAGCTAGGGCCATGGCAGCTGGGGTGCCCTTCAAAATGATGTCGAATAGTACCAGTGGTACCATTGGTAAGATAAGGATACGGATCGTGAAAGTAAGTATACCATCCATGAACAAAGGGCCATGGCAGTTGGGGTACACTTCAAAATATTGTCAAAAGATTACCATCCCTTAATTATGTTCAAATTGTTGCAAAAGTCGATATTTCGATGCATATTGAAGCTATATAATATAGTTACATAGCCTAAAGCGATTAGCTAATAATATTAAAATTTATATAATATATATCATGACATAATGTTTTTAAAGGTTTATATATGCAACCGGACACTCACACAGTTTGTATTTCTGTCATACTATTACTCTTTGAGTCTTCGTTTTTTGGACATTTACACTACAATTTTGTAGAATGCAATATAATGGCATCGCGTTATAGTTATAAACTTCCCATTTGCAATAAATTTAGAGAGATATGCTGACCAGAAATCCAGAATATAGATTGTTTTAAAATTTAGAATGTTTGTTTGTGCTCGGCTTTCGCAGTGAAAAGCAATGACTGATATATGATAGTCAAGCAATTTGCTGTCAGTTGATGGTAAAAGTACGTTAGATAGGAAGTGAATGACGTCAGTGGCGTAGCCAGGGTTTACAAAGTTAGGGGACAAGTTCAGTACCGTAGGCGCGAACAATCTAAGGGGGTCCGGGGTATGCTGCACCCAGAAAATTTTGAATTTCAGAGTTTACGAAACGCCATTTCGTGCATTTTGGGGTGAGATTTTACAAAATTCAGAAGATTATAATACCATAAAATACGCAAAATATAGTAAATTTTAAGACTTTGAACTATTTAATTATAAAGTGAGATCTTACAGGAATCGCAAGTTTATAGCATTATATAAAACATGCGAAAAATAATACATTTTCGGACTTTGAACTATGCAATTTTCTTAATCTATCTATTTACAATGATAGCTTTCTGTTTTTAGCCAAAAACAGTTTCTCAAAGAATTGAAACATATCTCGAAGGTGGTTGTGAAGGAGAGTGGAAGAGACTCGCCCCCCCCCCTCCCCGTGGCTACGCCACTAAATGACGTAATACAAATCGGACGCATAAAAGAGTTTGTGATATGCAGGGTGTCCCAAAAAACACAAAAACTATTAAAATAAATGTATTGTTAAAATTTGAATGCCTCAGCACTCTGCTGAACTCACACGTGATCAAAGCTTGACATAAGTAAATTGTATGCATAAAGAAACCGTTTAGAAAGCTGCTTTAAATTCCCAAGAGCAGAAAATTGTTGCTTTACAAATACAATTTGATTTCTTAATAAGTCAATATTTAATATATGTACCCTTGTCAATATTTCACGCATCTTTGCGTTCAGCTTTTAACAATACGTTATTTCAATGGTTTTGCCGGTTTTTTGGGGACACCCTGTATAATAAGGTGTGTTATGTCGCCTGCAGTTTGCAAAGTATGCAAAAAATAACGCGAAAGGTAACGCCATGTAAAAAAACCCAGAATTTTTGTTGCTTAAAAATACTGCATTGTAGTGCAAGTCGTTGTCGAATTTTACGAATGCATGGCAACTTGTAAAAGAGGTGTCATTCGCCAATCAGCGGCAAGTGCGCGCCTAAACCTTCCTGTTAGATCGATGATATATTGGATCTATCAGTCATGAGTGTGCGTTGGCATATCCTGATGAGGATGGAGGTGTTTCTAGAAGTTTCTGTATGTGAGATAAAATAGCAAAATTTGAGGCTCTAGCGTTGGCCACTTACAGTTACAGAGAAGAATTTATACTTTATATTTTATCATATGCAATAAAAATGATCATTCTGATTCGCGACATTCGTGACAGGGCTATAACACTTCCAAACAATTCATCTACCGGGTGGCCCAAAAAAAAGTACTCCTGTTTGATTCGTAATAACTTCTAACCAAGTAAAGTTTTTAAAGAGAAATAACTTGCATTAAATAGAGGAAGGACTAACTTAGATTTTGATATATTACAGTTGTATTTAACTTAAAAATTCACGGATATATTAATGTTAAAAATGGGGAGCATATTTTGGAATGTGTCTAAAATTAGCGAAAATCGGCATATCAAATAATGACATATTAGGCTAACTTGTATTTCAGCGAATTATCGTTAAGGTTTGTAAGGGATATGCCGTAGATTTAGACATCTTACATGTAAGTCTTAGCTCATTGTTTCCTGAAATATGAACGTTCGAAATTATGCAAGTATTTAATATTAGGTCTTTGCAAACTTAAATGTACATGAAAGACTGACCATGGAAGGCAGGCGCTTTAAATTTTTCGTATTCTTAAATAGCCTAATTTTTTTATGTTTTTAATGGGTTCAAACAGACTGAGTAGATTATTTCTCGGTTAGAGCAGGATGAATATTCTTTATTGAAGGAAATAATATTGCTTTTTGCAAATACACATCACCGTATCAACGCTACTATTTTGTTACGTTTTGTTCCAAAAATGTTGCATGTCTCTGGGGAGTTGCTTAATTATTATGTCTTATGGAGTTACAATGGTTTGATTGTGTTTCATATAATTCTCAGTTTACTCCATGAACTTGCCAAGATTAAGAAACGGCAAAAGAGTTTGGGTGTTCTTAACAAGATTTCAGAACGTTGCAGAAGTTAGAAGAGCTTCACAATTCCGTTGTGACAGCATGCCCTAATTCAGAACTACGAACGATCCAATGACGATCCTTCGCGATGCAGTGGTCTCATGAAATAAGGAAACGTATTCGTGCTAGGAACACACGCGAATTTCGGATGAATGAATCTTGCTTGTATTTTGTAGATATAATAATACTTTGTTTCATAATAAACAATTTGTCAAGTGTCATTTATTTACTGGTAATAGTGCATGTTTCAGTCGGGCAAATCTTGATTAATATTTGATACGCCGATTTTTGCATATTTCAGACACATCCAGAAATATCCTCCGGAATTTAAAGATTAATATCTCCGTGAATTTTTAAGTGAAATACAACTGTAATATATCAAAGTCTAAGTTGGTCCTTCCTCTATTTGATGCAAGTTATTTCTCTTTAAAAGCTATACTTGTTTAGATGTTATTACGAATCAAACAGGAGTACTTTTTTTTGGGCCACCCGGTATACGTAACGGAAACATTAACTTGTTATATAGGATAACAGCAAGAAACAAAAAAAGCATTTTATTTATTTATTTATTTATTTATTAAACTTCGCCACTTACAACAAACAAGTGGCAGGGACACCACAACAGTATACACCAATTACTGTGGGCCCTTTAAAAATTGCAAAATTTTAAGAATACAACACAAGACAACATATCGCAAAACAAAACTACATCGCACAGAACAATATCATGCAATGCAGTGTAATGCAATACAATGCAATGCAATGCAATGCAATGCAATGCAATGCAATGCAATGCAATGCAATGCAATGCAATGCAATGCAATGCAATGCAATGCAATGCAATGCAATGCAATGCAATGCAATGCAATGCAATGCAATGCAGTGCCATGCAATGCAATGCAATGCAATGCAATGCAATACATAGCAAGAACAAGATTCGACTTCCATCGCCACTACCGCCACCACTGAGCAATATTACAGTTTATCGAGCTAACCAATTACATGCACATCAGGTCAGCGAGAGGTAGCGGTAGTGAGATTGGACTTTCCAGACTTCGAGCCTTGTTGCACTTTAGACAGATAGATTTCCATGTCCGTGGATTATCGTGATCATAGACTAGATTTAAGGCAGTACGGTAATAATCGAGTAATAAAGATTTAAATTTGACTAAGCTTAAAGATTGATGTCTCAGTTCATCAGGCAGAATGTTCCATATCCTGGTCGATCTGTTGATGAACGAGGGTTGAAATATCACCGTCCTGAATTTCGTCTCACGGAGTAAGATGCTTTCTGGGTTGCTCGTGGCTCTTGTTCTTCTCGTTTTTCCAACGTTCTTTTCTGGAATAATGTCAACGCTAACATGCACCAAACCATTCATCATCTTGAATAAGAACACGAGGTCTATATATTCGTGCCAGAAACAAAGCGGTAATAACCTGAAAACCTTCGCTTTTGAATTTGCTCCTGTCATAATGGACATTTTCAATACATAAGTGCTTCAGGGAGTCTTCCCTGATCAGCTAAAACGTTCTATCGTCGTTCCCATTCAAAAAGTGTCACCACCTCAGACTATTGAGGACGATTTAAGACCTATATCACTCACAGCTCAGGTATCTAAAGTGATGGAAGGATTTATGCTACAATCCCTCATGTCGGAAGCGGGTCATAAATTGGACCCAAAGCAATTTGCTCTTCCGGGAAAGTCAACCACTCAGGCACTCGTTTATCTCCTCCACGTGATTCATGCTGCTTTAGATCAAGGCCACTGCTCTGTAAGAATCTTTTTTGTTGATTTCAAAAAAGGTTTTGATCTCGTCGACCATAATGTCATTATTGATGAACTTTTAAAATTACAAGTGAGTCCTGCCATTATAAGATGGATAAAGTCGTTCCTTACCTCCCGTGAACAGTCTGTAAAAATCGGATCATATTCTTCCTCATGGAAACCCGTTAACGGTGACCTACCTCAAGGAACTAAACTTGGGCCTCTTCTCTTTGCCATTTTAGTCAATTCCCTCCTACTGGACTGGAATGGGCGGATAAAGTTTGTAGATGATGCTACTGCACTAGAAATTGTTCCACGTTGCTCTCCTAGCTTGCTACCTATTCTCGTAAATGATGTATCTCAGTATGCCTCAAGTAGAGGAATGAAGCTTAACAGTAAGAAATGTAAGGAGATGACAATATCCTTCCTCCAATACCACCTTCCACTTGATAATTCGTTCATATAGATAGTTCTCCAGTGCAATCAGTATCCTCCTTTAAACTGCTCGGTGTGCTGCCGAGAGAGGATCTATCTTGGTCTGATCATGTTGATTATATGTGATTAAAAAAGCAAATTCCAGATTCTTTACACTGCGGAAGTTAAAAAAGGCTGGGTTAAGCGATAAAGACCTTGTCACTATATATTCCTCCTTCATTCGGTCCCGAATACGCTTCACCAGTGTGGTCAACGCTGACCCAAGGCCAGTCTGACCTTATCGAATCGATACAGAGAAGAGCATTACGTATCTTGCTTCACGAAATGTCGTTTCAAGGCGGATTGAATTATACCGGCCTAAAAAAGTTAAGTACACGTAGACATAATTCCTGCGAACAATTTATCCGGAAATTGAAGCTTGACAATGGTCCTATAAATCCTCTTAAGGGTGTTGTTGCAACTCGTATACATCCAACTACTCATAATTATAATCTTAGGTCCGAATCAAGCTGATCACTCCAAACGAACACAGAACGGTTTCAAAATTTTATAACTGTTAAATGTAATTACTAATGTATTATTGATTTAGTAGTACTCGTGTATATTAATTCAGGTACCCAAGTATAATTTGTGGACAGATTTAAACTGACTATTCAGAACGAACATTGAATGGTTTGAACTCAATTTTATCTGTAAATTTAATTTTTAATGTATTTACTTATAATCATGTAATTCAGTCTCTACTGCAATGTGATTAATTAAACAGATTATCATTATTATTATAACTTGCTTGCTTTTAGCCGATTCTTGTAGTTGGTCTGACAATCGTATGGAAGATTTAGAATAAATTTGGATGCATGGCGCTGAACTCGTTCTACTCGTTTAATATGATCGATCGTCTGAGGAGTCCAAATCTGCGTGGCGTAGCCGAGATGAGGTCGTGCAATCGCTAGGAACAGGCGTCTTCTTGTTCTGGGGTTTCTTATCTCCTTACATGCTCTCTTGATAAAACCCCAAAGTTTGTTTGCTTTTGAGCTCTGTTCAACAACTTGCTTGTTCCATGTCAATCCGCTATCAATCCACACACCAAGGTCTCTCTCCTGCTTCACCGCACCAAGAATTAAGCCATTCATAGCGTATGGATAACTTGAAGGTGTTTTTCTCCTCGTGATGCGCTGACACTTACATTTCGCATCATTGAACGTCGACCCATTGAGTGCGGCCGAAGAGTTGAGGTTTGAAGATCAACGCTATCTTGTTGACATTCAACTCTCTTCAGGACTTTCGTGTCATCAGCGAAACAAGCCACTTTTGATCATGATGACAACACAGCATTGGGTGGGTCGTTCACGTATAGTAGGAAAAGTACTGGCCCTAGGATCGAGCCTTGGGGAACTCCCGACGTTACCTCTCGTTCTTGAGATGTTGCACCAAATACTGACACCCGTTGTCTTCGGCCATTCAAATAAGAGGTGAACCAGCTCAGCAAACTACCGGATACATTAAATTGCCACAATCTGGAAATGATGAGAGAATGTTGAACCTTATCAAAGGTTTAGGCATATCTAGGTATATCACATCAGTTTGCTGACCAGAATCCAGCAACGTGCCGCGTAGTTGAGAACTCGACCAATTGGGTGACACAGGATCTCCCGAGAGTAAAACCATGTTGCGCTCGGTGTAACATTTGCAAGAGGTGATCCCGTAGACTGACCAGAACACACCGTTCAAATACTTTTGATATGATGGTTAGCAGGGATATTGGACGATAGTTCTCTACATATTCCTTGACTTCTTTTTTGAACACCGGGACAATGCTTGCCAGCTTCCACTCATCTGGAAATACGCCTGAGTGAAGCGACTGATTGTATAGTACAGTGATGGTGCAACTTGGTCAGCCGTTTCTTTCAAAAGTCGTGCAGAGATCCTGTCAGGTCCAGTTGCTTTAGTAACATCAAGTGAACGAAAGGCGACGACGACTTCGCAAGGAGAGAGAGAAATTTCGGAAAATTTCGGCCCACTGGTAGGTACTAGTAATTGTGGGCGAGGTTCGACTGTATCACTGGAGAATATCGATGTAAAGTGATTGTTGAAGGCTTCAGCAATCTCAACGGGGCTGGAAACTATTTTCGGAACAGCTTTACCAGTGTCCGTGTCGTGGATAGTTGATGGTATTGACACTTGTTGAAGAACACTGCACACTTTATGGGAGAGTTTGAAGGCAGACCAGAATCTTTTCGGATTTGACTGAATATCTTGTTCCAGCGACTCAAAGTATCTGGCTCGGCTTTCGCTTATCAAACGTTAGACTGCCAACCGTAGTTGCTTGAACTTGCCAATCAAGAAACTTGAAGACGAACTTCTCAGCTTTTTACGTAGCGTTTCCTTCTTTCGAATCATGTACAATATATGTCCGTTTATCCATGGTGGTGAGCGCTTGCCTTTTATTTTTCTCAAAGGAGTAAAGTTACGTACTACGGTTATATACCTTTCTTTCCATTCCAACCAGGCTCTGTTTACATCAGTATTACTTTCCACGATGTTGGAAAAGTCAATATTCTGCAAATTCGAACGTAGACCTTCGAAATCGCCTTTCTGGTAGTCATAGACAAATCTATTCAACTTAGCTGGTGCTATCACGGTCGCTTTCACATGGAAGATGAGACAATTGTGATCCAAGATAACTCCGTTTTTCTGTGGTAGCAGATTGGCATCAACTTGTACTTTCTCTGGCACACTAGTGATGACTAGATGTAATATATTGTTAGCTCTTGTTGGTTGGTGGTTTACTTGCGACAGAAAATAGTCATTCAAGAGTTCAGTGAATTGAATCTCATCAACACCAGCAGTTTGATCTGGAGAATCCCAAATAATTTTAGGTAGATTAAAGTCTCCATAAATGAGAATATCGTCATATCTCGCCAACAAGTAAGCGAGGTACGAATCAAATAGTTGAAACCAATTTCTGTTGGAGTGTGGTGGTCTGTAGCAACAGCAAATGCACAGCTTAGTTTTTGATATGGCAGTGAGTTCCACGGAAATTAATTACGAACCCGATTTTACCGCTAATAACACTCCGCCAGCACGACTTTTCTTTCACGACTTTCGACTATTTTTTCCTGGTTTCGTTTAAAATACTCGCCGCTGATATATTCATATGTATAATCTAGCGACGCCATCCTTGTTTGTCTAGCAGTCGCAGTAGAACGTATAAAACATGACCCGCTCGCTAGGGTAACCCTACCTGACGCGTTTACATGGCTTATGTAAACAAAAAGATAGCCCTGCTGCTAGGGTCACCCTATCTGTTTGATAGGATAACCCTACCCCTAGGGTAACCCTAGCGCGCATGTAAATGCTTAAAAATGTATTGAAGTAGGGTGATCCGCTTAATAGGGTAACCCTTCTGCTAGGGTCACCCTACCTCCATATATATAAACAGGTTCTTAATAGTAGGCTACATAGACGATAAACAACGCGCGCCTCTAAGTTGTTCTACATTCATTTACAAACATACTATTTCATTACGGAGGCAAACGTGCGACGTGTATTTAGTACGATCATTCGATCTTATAACTTCCCCACTTAGTATGTACGAAAACGATTTGATAATACTATTCTTTGAATGAGCAATACTGGTAATATGCAACGAACTATACCCTGTCACGAAATGCATTCCTGGAATATTCCCCTAGGCACTGGAAACCGCCTGGTTTCTCTACTCAATAAATGTTTACTGATTATTTGGTTGGTCTGCCCACAATAAACGCACACTAAAGTGTTAACAAATAATTATAAATTCTGCCCGCCCTGAATAATTACTTATGACACGTCAACGAATCCCACACGATTCCCGGTCACATTTTAGGGGAAAATACATATAAGTCGAACAATTGTTGTGTTTTTTATCTCTTATAGGTTATTGTAATTGTGTCAAAGGAATAGATAATGTGGTTAACTTCGAGCTTTTATTCTTGACAATGTCGACTTTAGTCCACGGTTCCCACCAATAGTTAATTGGTATATGATATATTCGTACATGTCCAATATCACGATGCGACACGGATCGTGAATATAGTTCACGATCCGTAACACATGGTGAAACAATCACGATGCGCCACGGATCGTGTATATAGTTCACAATCCGTAACACATGGTCAAACAATCACGATGCAACACCGATCGTGAATATAGTTCACGATCCGTAACACATGGTCAAACAATCACGATGCAACACAGATCGTGAATATACTTCACAATCCGTAACACATGGTAAAAAACCTCAAGCTGTGCATGTTTACCTCCAACAGTGCAACGAACACTAATCATGCAATTGATGCCCACTAAATCCGTACGATCC